TCAAAGAACACTACTGCCACCTACTGGTTTGTGACGTCAGGGTGCGGTATTGGCTGTTGATCAAGTCCCATTGCTATATCTGGTGTTTGTCACAATGTGCAATTATCCATTATGGTGATGACCAATGCACTATGTGAAGCAGAGAGTAACGATGACATTGACATGTTTTTCTCTGGCCAGAAGTTCGATGGCAAATCCTCCCTCTTCAAGTTGGCGATCCAACGACCAACCCGTCCGTGGAGGATCAGGAATCAGAAAGGTGGAATAACTCTATTTCTTCACTTTTACCTGATGTATTCCAACATCCAGCTGCCATGCACGTGGGCATTGTCAGTTTCACTATAGCTCTGGTGAATTTCAATGGTGAAGTCCTCTGGAAATCTTCAATAATTGTTGTTGATTGCAGATGTGTCTAGTAGTTCCCATTGATTTAGCTTGGAAAGCGGGGAGAATGGCGCTAGGCTTACCGCACCGTGACGTCACTGCTGGAAGATGGCAGAAGGGAGGGGTGTTACTATATTTGGGCAAAAATGGCCGCTCCCAGATGCAGTGATCACAACGAAAAATATTATTTTTACTTTTTTACTGATTAACGCTAAATTCTTTATATCAACGTGAACGTGCTAGTTTTAGGTTTAAATAATGATCCATTGGTTATTCCTTCCTGACTGGACTTTTCCTTTAAACCTGAATGTCATTTCTAAATAATAGTAAAGTAAATTGTAAAGCCAGAATATTTCCAAGGAAAATGTTAGAGTTAAACCATATCTGTTGCTCCAACTGTTATGTTATTGGAGCAAATCATCATTAAAATCTGATCTTAATAAGTAGAAGTTTTATAAAATAAGTGCACTTAATCCCCTTAACTCGTCATTAAGATGACCTGCCAAAATAATTTTTGCTTTCGTAATAAAATAATTAGATATGATGCACTTTAATAAGATAATGGAGTGTTTTATTTTTTACTTTAAAAGTAAATAATCATATTCTGTTGCCAAACTATGTTACTTCTCTGCTAAAATTGAGGGAAAATAAACTTAATTCTATTAATTTTCTATTTTTTGCTGTGTTTGTTTTCAGTACAGGGCCCATAACAGTGACCAGGACCTGTTCTACAGGGGTAATGGCCCCTTCTGGCCCCGCTTTACAACCGCCCTTGTCAAAGTCAGCATAAAAATTATAAAATGATTTTCTCAGAAAACAAAATGCTGACTGATTTATTTTCTGGTAGAAAAGCAACAGTAGACTCAAAAACAGCTCAACGTATCAAACAGGTGGGAGACAGCAGCAGAGGACAAATAGTAGTAGTGTGGATTATAATGGTGTAGTGTTTACATTTTTTTATATGATCCCTATAAGCTTGAAATTACTTCTTTTACTCCAGATAGTATTTTCTTTATACTCCCACTTATTGGTAACTCTTTTATTCCCATTAATAACTATAAAGAAACCTAGCCTGAGCTGGGTAAAACCCATAACCCTGCTGTATAAACTCAACAGAAGCTGTACTGCTTCCCATTTGAACCATTACATGAGTAGCTAAATGACCTCAGATCAGTTATGCTCATCCACTACTTTGGAGCATAAACAGGCCAAACAGTATTGGACAGAAAATACTCCCAAAAACGGGAAGAGAACAGATCCATCAGGATGAGAAATTTTCTAAAAAAAAACAACATATATTTCATGCAGAAACCTCCACAGACCTCAGCTTTAACACGTATCTGATAAGGTTTAATCAGCATGGGGGTGGGGGCTCATGATAAAGCATTTCAGCTCTGTGTCTAAGAGTCAGAGGTTTTCCTCTATGTGGCAAGGATGTCCTTATATACCCCCCCAACACTGTTCTCTGTCTCAATCTGATTCACTTTCCTGAGCCATGTCTCCTTCACCCCCATGTTTCATTTTCTTCTTCTTCTTCTTCTCTCCCTGCTCTCCAGCCTCTGTGCATTCTGGGCTGGCTCTGTATCAGTGAGACACTTTTTAAACCCCAGCTGGGGGAGAATACGGTGGCTTGGTGGGGGGAGGGTTTCAAAAGGGTAAGTGATTGCCCTCTAGGGGACGAAGCAGAGAGAAAAAAAAGCAGGACGCCTTATCGCCCAAGCCTCCAATAGCACTGCTGGCTCCCACCCAGAGCCACGGGGGAGGCGTGTGGAGGGGATGGAGGAGACGCCAGCTTGATGCTGCCTCTTGACACAGCAGACTCAGTGGGGTTTCTTCCATCTCCTCCTGCCAGTATGGCCACAGAAAGCAGCCGCCCAGGCAAACGCTGCCATCTGAATGAGAGCCGCCGCTGTACGCTCTTTATGAGAATTCATTCAGACTGTAAGAACAAATTAAACTACAACAGTTTGTTTGTCTTTTCATTTTGGTATTTATCCCTGGCCTCAATTTGTTTACACAAATCCGCCGTTTAGATGAAGCGATCTGTTTTATGAGTGATATTATTGCAGGAGACGGTGCAGGTGATAGCTCACTGTAAACAGGCAGCAAGCGGAACGCACTGCTGACCTATTTTCTTTATTCAAATGAAGACATAGGAACAAACAAGAGAAAAACACACAAAATGAATATATGTGACACCACCTGGCTTCATGATCAGTACATGTTTGGAGAATGTGATGCTGTGGAACCCCTTTTAAAAAAGGCTCCCCTTATAGAGGGCTGATCAATAGCTTACATTTATTTTATAAATTGATCTGTAAGTACTTTATAACTAATGTATTATGCATTGAACATGTTAATTATGCTAAAAGTTATGTTTACAGAGGCTTATTGTGCTTACAAGGAAGTAGCTTAGTGTGAAATGTTGAATATAAGCAACACTCGATAAAATGTATAGCTGAGGAAATTAGGCTCACTATTTGGCAATAAGCTGGTCAGTTTTCTCTGTTGCTTCCCTTCAATAATGCATAATTTACACATATAAATGTGTTTACACATCATTTAATAAAATTTATTTAAACTTTATGTGAGCCTTATTGTAACTTGGTACCATAAATGGAAATACAATCTGTTTTGTTTGCATTATTTGTAGAAATTGAAATGTTGAACCAAAAATCTGCAACAATATAAGGATAAGTGGAACATATTTTACATGTTCTAACTTTCTTGGACAGGCACCAAAGTTTTCAACCATTGTTAACTGTTACTTTAGGAGGTTTTTTTTCAGACTGAACACTTTAAAGAGGTTGTTGCAACAAATAAAAATAAAAAAGAAGCAGGAACTGGAGATTTCTTTGCTGTCATTTTGTGGTTTTGCTCATTTTTGTACCTGACTTTCCTGTCATTACTTAAATGAAGCTGTGTAGTTCTGTGGATTTCATACAAGCTTTGACAACTTAAAGTCATTTCATATATTTCAATCAGCCTGCTGTACGGAAAATGTGTTTAATGAGAGTAAATAACCTTCAGCAGCAGGGTTATGCGCACAGTTATTTTGGTTCATGATGGGAGAATCCCTGTCATGCAATGCGATAAATCTGAGTTTTATTAAGTAAAAGATTTTAAAAATAGTTTGTTTACAAATGTAAAATGTTGGTGGGAAAGGATGAAATTGGAAATGTACAACATGAGGAAGTAGGGGAAGAAAAAAAAAACAGAGTTTAGAATAAATATTTCTGTGGAATTGCGAACTTAATGTCAAAACACTCCTGCTGTTATTATTGGCATTTACGTCATGGAGTGAAGCAGATGTTTTTTTGCTAAGTAAAATTGTAGAATCTGTCATAAGGTGAGAAAAATGTCACATTTTTTCGACTCGGCAAGTGGTTTCACATTTTATATTATCTGAGATATAAAAGGAAAATAAAAAATGTATTAAATTTAACTCATTTATTTCCCTTTCAACATGGCAGCGGCTTAGGAGGAGGGATTGCTGCAAAAACAACAACCTCATAGCCTACATTTAACACTTCCACTTGCCATCCCTGCAGCATTAATCATATGTGCTTTTATTTCAATATGAATTCATGATTGAAATGATCTGTTTATATATTTCTGTATAGGAATGAGGTCCCGCTGTGTTTATTTACCTTGAGATGACAGGTGTTTGGTGGCATTGCTTCAATTTTGGCCACACTAACAAAGCAAACACTTGTTCAACCAATTTTTTTGTGCCACATAATTTGCATAACAAAACAACTATAAATGCAGCATTTTATTTTTAGCTTTCTTAATTCTTTTTCTTTGAAAAAAAAAATCAAAGTGTGGATATGTGCACAATTACACAGTGACGTCAAGAAAGTAAACCTCAAATGGGGTGCCAGAGATTATCCGTGATTTGTCTGTTTTTATCACTTTAGATTTAAAAACAAATCAAAGTTTTAATTCCTGCGTTTTAACTTTTGACAACAAAACATGACTTCAATGTTTGGCATCTTTCCATTCCACTCATGTTGCTTGTTTGTTTTTAATTTTGGGTGGGAAAACTCATTAACGGCTGTTTAAAAAAAGAAAAAAAGCATGAGGATCTAGTGAGTTACTGATAACCACAGCGGTGATATGAAGCTGTTTCCAGCTGTAAAAATATAACATTGGGTAGCAGACAAGCAGACGCGTCGACGCAGCAGGCGCCTGCAACAGTGTCCAAGCGCCACCTTCAGTATCCAACCTGAGGGAAGAGGAAAAAATGCACAAAAAGTCAATAAGTCTCTGCAGTTCATGTGGAAAACATTCTTTGTTTGCATTAAAATCACACTTAAAATAAGGAAGTAAAAAGATTAGAAAACAGAGGTTATGCTTCTGTGCGCTCCTGTGCGTAATGCTGCTCAGAGGAGCGCGCGGCGCTGACTGTGTGTTTAATATGCTTGTCTCGCCCGGCGTGTTGCCCCAGACACTGTAACACAAATCCCCACCTCCACTCCGGAGCCCGGAATGCAAAGGGTTAACCGGAGTCCTGGAGTCTTCGGAGTCTACTGGGCGGAGTGGAAGGAGCGGGATTGGATGACGGAGCTGTGACGCAGGGGACATGAAAAAGCTGATAACTAGTTAAGAAGGCAGTTTGTAACTCTGCAAAAAGAGTGCAGAGAGCTTGAGACACGTTAAGCAGAGGACGTGGATGAACCCAGAGAAAAGCTGAGCCGTCCCGGCGGTGAGGAGCTGTTAGAGACTGCAAAGAGACTCCGAACTGTGGACAATGGTGCAGCACACGGACCACAGCGAGACGGATGGCAGCATGTCCAGGGAGGCCACCGACTCGGAGGAGAGCGAGTTTATGGCATGCAGCCCCGTGGCGATCAACCCGGACTGGTGCAAGACGGCCACCGGGCACATCAAGAGACCCATGAACGCCTTCATGGTGTGGTCAAAGATTGAGCGGAGGAAGATCATGGAGCAATCCCCGGACATGCACAACGCGGAGATCTCCAAGCGCCTGGGCAAGAGGTGGAAGATGCTGAAGGACAGCGAGAAGATCCCGTTCATCAGAGAGGCCGAGAGGCTGCGGCTCAAACACATGGCCGACTACCCCGACTACAAGTACCGACCCAAGAAGAAACCAAAGCTGGACAGCTCCAAGCCCTCCGCGCCGTCACCGGAGAAGTGCGGGAAGATCGCCAAGACTCCCAGCAAGAAGTGCCCCAAGATCAAGACAAAAAGCGGCTCCAAAACCTCTCACGGTTACGCGGAGGACTGTGTGTTTCCCAGCCTAAAAGTTGCAAAAACTGTGAAAAGTGAGCTCACCGATGAGGACGACGACGACGAGTATGAAGAGGACTACCGGATGGGTTTTAAAGCGGGGGAGGAGGAGCGCCTCAGGCCGTACGGCGTCGCCAAAGTCCCGGCGAGCCCGACTCTGAGCTCCTCGGCGGAATCCGAGGGGGCGAGCATGTACGAAGAGGTGAGGAGCCACAACAGACTGTTTTACAACATCAAGAGTATTTCCAAGCAGGGCGCACTGCACGCTGCCTCCGCGTCACCAGCATCCTCCAGGTCGGTCTCCACCTCCTCCAGCAGCAGCGGCTCCTCGTCCGGAGAGGACGCGGACGACCTGATGTTTGACTTTAGTTTGAATTTCGCTCCGAGCGCCGCAGGCTCCGAGCTTGGTAACCCCAATTCAGGAAACCTGTCCCTGTCTCTGGTGGATAAGGACCTGGACTCTTTCAGTGAGGGCAGCCTGGGCTCCCACTTTGAATTCCCAGACTACTGCACACCAGAGCTGAGCGAGATGATCGCAGGGGACTGGCTGGAGGCGAACTTTTCCGACTTGGTCTTCACATACTGAAGAAAAAAAAAAAACCCAGAAACTGTTCCTCTAGTAATAACAGAGAAGGAAGATATGAAATTATATGTGTCCTGGTCAGATTGTCCTAAGTCCTGCCTCTTGTGGGTTTTCTTGCAGAGGGAGGAGGACTGTGATCCGAGGTGAGGTTTGAGATGCTTCTGAAGCTGGTAGCAGAAAAAAAAGAGGGAAAAAAAGGCAAGGTCTGCAGACTTTTTTATTATCTGACAGCATGACAGGGTTTTCTGGATTTTTTTCCCCTCATAGGTCTGCATTTACTGCTCAGCTTAAACAGACCGAGAAGGGAAGAACTTCTATGCATCTTATCCTCTTCAAGACAAAAACAAAACAAACTGCAGGGAGCTGAACTCGGACTGAGGACTGTCTCAAAGCAAATCTGTGAACTGAAGATTGTTCAGGATGCTACTTTTCAACGGTTTGTGTAATTTCTAAATGCCGCAAAAATGTTTTTATTTTTTCGTTTTTTTTTTCTTTTTCAGGTTTGCTTTTGTTTGTTTTTTTTTTGTTTTTTTTGTAACTGATTTCTTTTACCTCCTGGTTTGGAAAAAAAAAAATCAAGCAGCCTAAAACCTCTGCAGAGTATGCAGGTGCGGAGGAAACATTTTGATACATAACAGACCTCATCTTTTTAAAAGAAAAAGATATTTTCAGGCATATTTTTGTACAGTTCAAAAAAGGGAATGTTCTTACTGTGCTTTCAGTGAGTTTCAGGCACTTCTTCCCTTTATCCTTTTTTGTTTTTACGCATGCAAGGTGAGTCCTGGTTTTAAGGATTAAGTTAAACAGAAGACTTGCATCAAAAATGCCTTGTGATTTTAAACTAGGTTTTGTACAGTTGTAGAGCAGATTTGTTGAGTATTTGTAGACGATACAATGGCATCATGGGGGAACACATACCTCAGAGCTGGAACTAGTTTCAAGATTGTATATGTACTGTAATATAGTAAAGTTAGGAGTTTATGTATATCATACTCGTGATATGTGGATGGGTCCCGATCGCAGGTGTGAAACTGGATTTTTTGGTATTTTTTATGGCACATACTGTTTTTTCTTCCCCCCTTTTCTCATTTTTTTGTGCAATATATACTCTTGAGATACAGACCATCAACAATTGTAGCAAGTGATGGGAAAACAGACTCGTGCACTGTCGACATCATCTCGGGTTATGATGCTGAAGCCTCTCCGGGCAGGGAAATAAACAAAATCAGCTGGAACTGATACAAAGCAACTGTAATGTGGCCTCGTGGTGTGATGCATGCTAATAAAACACATATATTAATTTGAATGTTATTTGGATCTCGTAATAGGGCATATTATCTTAAAAACTAAAAAAAATATATATATAAAAAATCTCACACTTGCAAATTAGGAAAGATAAGAGTTCCACAGAAAAAGGGGCATATAGTCTGATTGAGTGGTGGCCTGGCTTTATTTTAACAAGCAAGCAAAAAAAGAACATTCCATAGTCCTGTTTCATGAAATGAAACTTTATTTTAAAAACTGAAGACTGCCTTCTTTTTTTATTGACATGAACCACAAACCTGTATTTTTTATTTCTTGCACTTAAAAAAAGCAGATATTGTTTATTTTTATGTGGGTCTTACATATGAAGTTTGTTTGATTCCAAATTTTTTGGAATTATGGCCTAATTATATGCCGAGACGTTATTTTTGTTTGTTTTCATTGGAAGTTCTGGGCAGTAGTTACTTCACATTCCAAGTGTGAATCTGTCTTTGACTCATCTTTTTAATAAATAAGTACCTACCACCATCCACTGTCCGTTGGGTTTGTGAATAAATGTACACAGATGTGTTATTATTTGGATTTATAAAAAAAAAGGATGTGACGACAGAATGATGCCTGTTTTGTAATTAGGCAGAAATCTTTTAAAATGGCTGGGCTCCAGCTAACATGTGAATTCACATTTAATAAAAACCAGAAAATGCAACAAAAAGGAAATTAAGAATTTTTTAAACTGAAATGTTGAGCTGCTTTTCTGTTCTCTGCTCTTTTCTTTCCCTTTCCTGAAAAAAAAAAACAGACTGCCTCTTTAAGAACTTGAATTGCCCGCTTGGAAGTAGCTAGAGCTCTGATTGGTTGCCGTTGTTGGTCCCCTTGGAAACAGAGCTGGAAACAGGAGCTGCTGCTCTCAGCATGAGGGAGCTCTCAGTCTGTCTGGCTTTCATTCAGAAAACCAGCCCTCCACTCTTAAAGCACTCAGCCCAGAGCAGATTGGAGATAGGAGGAGGAATTGTCTTAACAGGACATATGCAGCTCAGGGGTAAAGGGAGGGAATTACTGACAGTTAAGGGAAAAAAAAGGTTTTTTTTTTATTGCTGTAAAATGTAAGAGATTTTCTTATTTCCAGGGAAACTGAAATCACTAATCTGCTGCTTTTAATGCCTGCATGCTTTAAAAATAATAACAGCTCTATGCTTTGCTTTAAAATATAAAGGTAATAAAATTACTTGATTAACATTTTTACATTTCTCTAAAAGAACCACACTCAACATTCAAGGATTTTTTTTTTTAATCGCTTAAATCGTTTTTTATTATTCTAAAAATCAGCCTTTTCCTTCACTGTCCCTACATATAGAACCTTCTTTGGCAAGAAATTATATTAATTCACTCATAACTTGACCTAAAACATAAAATTAGTAAGATGGTTCTTTTATTTAATGATAAAACAATCACATTTACAATAAGTTATTAAAAAGACTTAAGATATCCATTTTCCAATGCTTCATGTGAATTTGGTTTTATTTGATTTTGTAAGGCAAAGGTCAAAAATTGCTCTGATTGAAATGGTTGCTAAAGTCAGTTTAATTAGAAAAAAAATTGCTTGATCATTATTTTATTTCAAGTAATGAATGAATTTCCTCATTAAATACTCATCCCTGTTAAATAAATCAAGGCAAACACCAGAGAGGATTATAAAAACAGAAATATCTCAATTTAAATAAAAGGAATGGCAGAATAAACCAGAAAAGAAAGAAAGATTCATATCAAGTATTATCCTAACTGATCAGCAGGTTCCTTTAACAGGATACATCCCAGACATTTATAATGTCCTGCAAAACATAATTAGCAGCACAGCCAATCGTTAACAGAGCTTCCGTCTTCACGGTGTCATGAGGCTGTTTGTGTCTGGAGAGCAACACCACCGGGTCCCCCACTGTCCCCCCCCTTCCTGGTTTAGAGAGACCCACCTTCAAACGGCGGCTGCTGAGATGTTTATGCTCAGAGCGGCCGCAGATTCCAGTGATAAATATTCACCATGCGTGGCTGCTCAGGTAGTAGCCTTCCCCATTAAGTCCGTTTGCAAATCTGTAATAAAACATTTATCTAGCTATTACTTTAGCTGACCTATTGGTCAAAATTGCTAATGGGTTCCAGGACTATTCCCAGTTGGATCTCTGCATTGATTTTGTGCTCCTCTGAAATATTGGCTCGAGGCTAATGTCACCGGTACACATTGAAATGAAATTACTGATCCGTTGAAATTTGCCTCCATTTCCGCCTGAAATAAATAAATGTAAATGCAGATCAGTCAGAGGGGTGGAAGTGAACGGTTGTTTTTGAAAGGTGATGGCCGTACGGCAACGCCAGCTATGGGATGAGGAAAAAAAACTGTCATTTCTAATCTCTTGAATTCTTAAATCATTCATACAAGCTTGCATGTTCCAATCAAATGTTAGACGAGAAATCTATACACGAGAAGCCAGCTGCATAACTATGGAGGCACAATCCTGCTGTGACCGGGCCTCGTTTTAGACAGGATGCTAAATCCAGTAATAATAAAGCCTCTTGTAATTTCTTCACACATTTTTTCTTTTCTTTTTTTTCCGCCGCCCTTTACCTCTCATCCAGTCAGCGTGGATGCATTACATCACCGCTTAGCTTATGCTGCTGCGCAGTAAGATCCTGTGTTGTGTCATCGCTGATCCACATGTGTTCCTCCTCTCCCACTGGGAGACAGCCTAATATTGCTGTGGGAATACTGGCATATACTCTCCATGCTTGTGGTTTCATAACAACAACAACACAGCTTGCATAAATTTAAACCTGTTTACAGATTTTGCTAATTGATGAGAGGGCAACGTTGACGTAATCAATTCTGGCTGTGATCAGTGAGGTGTTTTCCCCACTTCTGATCAACTCTCTTACCTTACTATATTTACAGGTGCTTCTCAAGATATTGGAATCATAGATACACTCAACCCCTGAGTGCTGTATTACAAACTTTACTTGTGCTAAATCTAGATGATTAGAGCTTTTGTTATAGAATTCTAAATCAGACTCATAAAATTATCATACAGAAATGTTGTTTTACAGCCTGAGATTAGTGCATGGTAGTCCATGGGGTTATGTAGCCAAAAATACTTTTAGAAAGTTTAGTGGAAGGAAAAGTGCACTGCAGATTTCTGGAGTGAAAATTCAGGTTGAAATAAAATAATACTAAATTGTTAAAGCTTTGGAGTTCATTGATTAACCCTGACTCTGACCTATGTTGAGGGATGCTAGTAGTCAGAGTTAAATTTTCGAGTTCTTTCAGTTGGTGTAATTTTTACTCCCCAGCGGAGGGCATGTTTAACTGTTTCATTTAAACAGTGCAGCTGTGCTGTGCTAAACAGCTAAAACTCAGCAGCCTCATTGTGCAGGAAACCCTGCCTGCAGTCAAAGAGGAGATTCCACTCTGTTTGCCCATCAACGATGATTCAGGCTTGTGGAAAACTTCCAGTGATACACTTCCTGGATAACAAATAAGATCTCTGGTAGCACAGTAGCGCTTGTTGCAACAAGGAGGTCCTGGGTTCAGTTCTAAGACGGAGGTTTATATGTTCTCCATGTCTATTACCGCTTTCCCACTGCCCGAAAAAACCCTTTAAACCAGAGAACTGGCAGTGAGAACAGTCCACTTACGTATGTCTACCTCTCTGTAAGCAAATTGCATTAAAATAACTATAATAATAATAAATTATTGGAACAGAAATTATGTGATAGCATTGAGCGCAACGTATGGACTTCAACACACAGCGCCAGTCGCTTCTGATCTAATAAGCCAAAACAACTCTGTTTACATTCGATAAACATGGATCAGCTCTGTCGAGAGGGATTCAGACAAATAATAGAGCGAAAAAATAGTTTTTTGGAATTATGGCCTAATTATATGCAGAGACGTTATTTTTGTTTGTTTTCTTTGGAAGTTCTGGGCAGTAGTTACTTCACATTCCAAGTGTGAATGTGTCTTTGACTCATCTTTTTAATAAATAAGTACCTACCACCATCCACTGTCCGTTGGGTTTGTGAATAAATGTACACAGATGTGTTATTTCTTGGATTTATAAAAAAAAAAAGGATTTTGTAATTAGGCAGACATTTTTTAAAATGGTTGGGCTCCAGCTAACATGTGATTCACATTTAATAAAAAACAGAAAATGCAACAAAAAGGCACACTGACTATGCCCTGGCTTCCTTACACGTTGCTCTCCATTGTTTACTTCCCTGATTTCTATTTTCAGTAGGAAAGAGGTGTATGTGTGGGTATTCTGGCTTTCTCACATCACCCCAAAATATGATTATTAGCTTAAGTGATGTCACTGAATTGTCATTAGATGTGTACACATGATTCTATGTGTGTGTTGCCTTGCAACAAACTGGTAATCTGTCCAGATTGTACTCTGCCTTTTGGAAATGGGCACCAGGGCTCTGTGACCCTGATGGACAAGCAGTAGAAGATGGTTTGATTGATGTCTCAAAATGAAGCCAATTAAATGTTACTTTTTAAATCTTACACTGTGCATGCAGCATGGATGTTATTTGTCTTAATATGAAATATATTAATAGTATAAAAGTGTTAATGATATAAAAGAGAAAGAGTTACAAGGATTTCAAGAGTCTCCACTAAGACTAGAAATGAGCCAATGTATGAATCAACAGGTTTTCTGTTACTTCTACTTCAGATTGTAGATTAGTTTGATAATTTAACTCCTGGGGAGTACAATTTTTACTAAAGGGCTTCAACTAAATAAAAATACTACTTTTTATTTAGTTCTGAGTTTCATTATGTGGTGTAATCTAAAACTGAGTTGTTAGTAATGCTTAAGGAGTTCAATCCAAAAAGGAAGTTTGCTGGTGATTCACAGGGCAGCTGGAGTCATTTCTTCAAAACCCACCAGAGACACGTTGATGATCAGTTGGGAAGTCACCCTGTCTACTGGTGTTGGATCTCTGAGTTTTTAATGCACTTCAATTAAAAAATAATGGGAAGAAAATAATTCAATTTGATAAAAAATAGTTTATCAGAATCAAAATACAAGCATATGGAAATACTGAC